CTTTTTCGAGGTTCACTGACACTCCATCTTTTGATATGATATGCTCTAGGAAGGTAGTTTGCTCAAGCCAGAACTCACACTTACTCAGCTTTGTATACAACTTCTTTTCTCTGAGAACCTACAAAACCTGAGTCAGATGGTGAGCGTGTTCCTCTCTACTTTTTGAATAAACCAAGATATCATTGACGAATACAATGACGAACTAATCCAGGAATTGTCTGAAAATCATGTTCATTAAATTCATGAAGATGGCTGGTGCGTTGGTTAGTCCAAATGGCACGACAAGGAACTCATAGTGTCCGTACCCGGTTTGAAAGGTTGTTTTGGGAATGTCTTTTTTTCTGATCTTTACTTGATGGTAACCTGAACATAGATCTATCTTCAAGAAGACCTGGGCACCCTACAACTGATCAAAAATGTCATCAATCCTAGGAAGATGGTACTTGTTTTTGATCGTGACCCTGTTCAGACCTCCGTAATTAATACATAACTTCAATGTCTCATCTCCCTTTCTTGCAAATGTGACTCCAGCACCTCAAGCGGACACTCTATGTCGAATAAATTCACTGTCCTGCAATTCATTGATCTGTTTCCTCAACTCCTCCATCTCAACACGACTCATGTGGTAAGGAAAAACCGAAATAAGCTGGGTGTCTAGCTGAAGGTTTATGGTGAATTCAACTTTCATGTCCACTGGCAGTCCAGGTAGTTTATCTGGAAATACATCCGAAAAGTTTCGGACTATCGGGATCTTTTGAATACAAATTTTTTTCTTGAGTTTGCCTAGTTAAAGAAACAACCAAGTTAAAATACTTAATAATAGAAAAATTTGCCACAATGGAACAAATGTTAAAGAATTTTATTAATTTGTAAATGACTCCTTATTAGGAGGGTTGAATACAACTTTTTTATGAAAACAATCTACGGTGGCGTGATACGCTGCTAGTCAGTTCATTTATAAAATTATATCAAAGTCTCCCGTGTCCATTTTGATTAGGTCCACACTCAATTTTCTATCTGCTATATTTATGACATAGGCTATGTATATAACCTCATCCAATAGTGTCTTACTCTTAGGAGTAGACACAAACAACACCGAATCAAGTCTTCTAGGTAATATATAAAATAAATGAATGTGAGACACCAGTATCAATCAAAACATGTGTAAGATGATTATAGATAGTATACATACCCTGTACAATGTCTGGGTTGGCTTCTACATCTTACTGAGTGAGGTTGTAAACCCTGCCCTGAATAGGAGATTTGGTCTGGTTCTGGTTCCTCGAGCACTTCTTTACATAATGCTGGGCACTACCACATATGTGGCAGGTATTGTTGAGTCGATAGCAAGGTTAGTCCCCATTATCCTTGCCACAGTGCTGACAGGTCCTACCGCGTCCTGTTGTTGGAATCTAAGGGGGAGCTTGAGTCATCAGCCTGGGTCTCTTGTTCTGTTGAATATGTGCAATAGGTGCTGGTCTGTGGTGTGGAGCCGATAGCCTGAGGTTCCCCACTGCTGGAGAAAAAATGCGAATGTTCCTCTCCACTAACTGTGTCTTGACCAGAATAATCAAGTAAGTACTGAGCTCGAACACGTACAACTGCTATCTGATCTCAGGATTGAGAACCCATTCGAACCTTTTTGTCTTCCTGCCTTCATCCATCATGCTCTCAGGGGAATATCGACCCAACTCTATGAACTTTCGAGCATATTCTGATACAATCATGTCACCCTAGATCAGATGTGCAAATTCAATTTCATTCATATGTCGGAGATGTTCTAGAAGGTACTCTATATTGAAGGCCGTCAAAAATTGTTCCTAAGTGACTGGAATGGGCAGGGTGGCCTGCTTGAATTGCCATCAACAACCTGCCTCTCCCACCAGCATGTAGGTGGCAAGTATGACCCTCTGTTCGGGAGTCAACCCAAGAGTCGTGAAGGTCTTCTCTGTCTCAGCTAACCAGTACTCGGTCTCTTCAAATGAGGATCCCCCTGCAAAAATAGATGAGTTTAATCTTTTATACCTTTCAATGTAGTTTAAGTCCATCATAGAAGGAACTGGATCCCATAGAAGAGGGACTGGACTGTGATGAGGATGAATTGGATGGCCCTGTGGTGGTACTAGATGATACGGTGAAGGCACCAGATTGTACTATGGTGGGGCTGGGTGATGCGGTTGGGGCACCGGGCCATACTGTGGTGGTGCCGTGTAGAACTGTGGAGGAGCAGGGTCG